CTCTTCTGCTCCTTCCTCGGCGAGGTAGTACTCGAAGCAGCCCATACATGGTTCCCGTCACGTCCCTTTTACTTCTACACAATAGGCCCTAGGCGGCTGCCTTATAACATGTGCTGAACACCATTACATACTACTTCCCCTAGAACGGAGCAGAAGAAGATGAGTCATAGCTCTACCGCGACCGCCATGGTTCCCCCCCCCCCTCCTCCCCCAGTACGTTAGCACTCCAGAAGGACAGCTGGAAAAGTTTACTTCATGTACGATAGACAAAGGATCACTTAGAATACTCTGTGATAATCATACCTCAACACTCGATCCATTGTATTTTCAATTTTTCGATATTCTCAATTTTGTTGTGTTTTTGTTCGTAATCGATTCGTGGTATTACTGTGCTCAGCCTTATGTAGAAAAAAATTTAATGGACGTGTTGTTGGTAATCAGTCTTTAGTGGGGGGCCAATCCCCATATACTTTAGTAAATCGACACTGCTCCTCCGGATATCGCTTATCTCCTGGCCAGAGCCTTTACCTAGGAACAAATGCGGGAATCTAGTAGTTTCAGTAGCCGACGAGCCATTGTCCGACGAGAACGATGCGCCGAACCATGTACTGCTACACAATATGCAGACTCTCCAAAATACCGTATACCTGGGACTTCGCTTCGATACAAGACGACAGAGTTTTAACGGCGTATGAAATACCCTGGCATGCGCATCTAAGTAGTGACGTTAACCAACCCTTATACAGTCTAAAAATCCACCTCTACACCCAACTTACCCCGCGACTGCATGTTTTTTTCTTAAGTTTCACGAGACCTGCCAGTTTGAATGCCAGTGTTTTTTTAACTTTTCACGGCTTATTAAAGTTTAAGATCTAGAAGGACTACTGGAAAAAACTTAAATACATTATTAGTGGAATCTATAAATATTAACGAAAAAAATCAAAAATCACAGCCCTTGCTATACGTGGTTTAGGAAATATCTCTTCGGTGATGCTCATATCAACCGCGTGACAATGCGGAGTACATACACGACGAGACCATTGTTAGGCAAAGCAGAAGGCGGGAGGCCGTCGTTATGAGCTTGGACCAGGATTAACGTCGTATTTTTATTCTGAGTCCGCGAAACTTCGTCTACATCTAGTTAAATTTTCCCGTTTTTACAATTCCAATCCTTTGGGCGCATAAAAAGAGGACACACACTGTTCTCTACAGTTACCCTCCACCACCTAATCACACCATTTACCCAACTATGTTACAGAGAGGATGGGGGCAAAAAAAAGTAATTTTTCTCCTTGCACTTTCAAGGCGCTATGAGAACACACTTTTATCCGGAATTCTTATCGACTTCTACCACCATATTGAAGAGCATATTAAATACTATCATGATACTCCGCCACAGCCTTCTGGAGGAGCGCCATCGAGAGATTCTGCCACGCGACCGTCAGTGGGTGCGTGAGTCAGCGAGATACGACGACTTTCTCCGCCATCTGTAGACCACCCTATTGAACTCCGCCCGAACCAGGTAATTGAGGGGTTTGGGTCAGATGACCTGCTTGAATATTCCACCTTCCTCAGGTACTCAACGCCCCTCCATTCCAAGTAGGCGAGTGTTTCTCCAACGCCCTTCGATTTCATGTGGTGGCACTCAATGCTGTAGCAGTACAAAGTTTCCAAGAAGTACCCGATGCGACAGTAGGGAAGGATATTCTTCTCAAGTTGCTTGCTGATTATCGCCAGCGCCTCAACCGTTCATTCCGGGTCCACGAAAGAAAATATCGCGGTCTCACTTTCACATTCCATTACTCTAGCGTCCATTACCATCCCCGCGCCTTGTAGCGACTTGCGGTTGAAGATGATGTCCTAGACCGTGCGACGTTGTGAGGAGCTGCTCGATGTTGGAGGTCATCCAGATCGGAATACTTGGTCTCCAGGTAGCTATCCATGACGATGAACTCCATACCAGAAGTTTCAGCAGCGTTGGGAAGGCTGACATGAATTCCAAGGTCTTCTCCCAGCTCACGGCTGCTCCTGGAGTGACTTCATATTTTGCGTACATCCTCATCATTGCGACCGGTGGGATCGTCTCAAGGCGGCTGCTTTGGCGGCGATGGGGTGAGTCGTTCTGCACCCGGTTGTTGAAGCGGACAAGTGACATTACTGTATTATATCCTTCGTATTACTCGTTTTCTACCACTTTTTGTCGCATACGCGTTTCACAAAAAGGCTGAGAACGGCTTCAACAGTGTGCACACTCATACTGGCTGACACGCCCCACCGGTCCGCAATGATGAGGACTGTACATTGAAGAGATGGCGTCTGCTCCTGCTTATCGAGGACACATCTTGGTATCTTCGCCTTCGGTACTTGTATCCACCACCTCCGTCGCGGCCGCAAAAACTTTGCCCTCAGCGGTTGACGCCTAAAGATGGATTTTTCGAGTCAGAGTCGAAAAGCGATTAGTCACTTGTACATACGCTTATTAGCGATTACATTACCTTTTACCTTTTCTCCAACTGAGACACACAGCCACAAGCCCACACATTCACGCTCCCTCCACTTTTCCGCTTTGCTAGTTAGCAAAATTCGGAAAGATAGAGCGGGCGGGGGCGGAGAGAGTGGAGAATGTTGGTGGTGGAAGTAGGAAGAATGTGGTATTTAGTGATAACAATTCCCACAACGGTGATAATGTGCACTGATCAAATCACATGAATCTACAGTCTTCGCCTTGCGCCGCATGACAAAGGTTTTCCACCACGCTGTTGGCGCTTATATATCTTCAACATCCTTGGTGGTGCGAACTCGGCAGAGCCAGCGGCCTCTGACATGCCCCCGTACATCCGCCATCGAAAGAGCAGTGTTAATTTGCGTGTGCAGCTGGCAATCCATGCCGCAGTGCGACGTTATGGAAACGGAAAGGGGTCCTCCCAAATTCGGAAGTTCATTTAAACTTCATTCGTTTATCATATACGTTTTTACATGCAAATATTCTGTATTGCCGCCGTAAGTCAGTGTGTCGAGCTGATGATCTCCCTCAGCAGAGTGCGATCATATACGCCATTGTTTTGAAAGGAAATCTATGTAGGTTTGTGCCTCGTCCCTCACGGTAACGGCTGATTTGAACCGGTTGTGACGATTTGTGGCTGAAGCTCGGAAGCTGTACTCGATTACGATTGACATAATCAGCGTGAATAATGGCATTCCCTAAAAAAACAGTAATTGGCATTGAGATTACATTAGTGAGAGGAGTCCCTCAGAATTACCGGAAATTAATATGGAAATTCGTTGAAGAGCTCAAAGCTATGCCCGGGGTCCGATTGCTGACGTCAACACCTGTTCGTCATCAAGAACGTAATGTTCCCATGTATGAAGTGATTCAGCCCACTGGGAGTGAAGGAATCTTTCCACGCTCATCTTTTGGGTGGAGATAGTCCATCGTCCATTCCCCACTGATATACACATAGTTCTGAGACGGTGATGTGGATTTGAGCATCAATAAGAAATGCACGGCGGTACTGTGTCCCCGCCCACATGGTCATCGAGGACAGTACCTCTAGAAATATCTGATATGCTGGCCGAGAAGCTCCTTCTCGCGGCTTTGCAGTGAGCAAGGGGCAGCGGTGGTCATTAGCAAAAGGAAAACCATCATAGTAGTTGCCTCACCTCATCTGGGATTGGTCCTATGCCTACACTCTATACCTCGAAGGGTGGGGGCGTGGCTGCGCACTCCTTATAAAAGCGGAGGCGGTTGCGATTTAGATGGTATGCTACCGTTTTGGGACAAGCTTAGTCATGTCGTTGCACCTGGCAGTTGTACCAAATAATGAGTTCTCACGAAAAGCGCATCCTGCACCATGTTCAAAGCAAGTACGCAGCCACGCCTTTCCTTTTTTGCGGGATATGGAGTGTATACAGGTGCCACGGTGTTGGGTCATTCTGAGTGGGACCGTCTTGTCGTGTCTCTCGTTCTTCCTTTCGTCTTCCTGCACCCTTTCCTTTCACCCGTGCAACAGTGGTTTGTTTCCTGAAACGTGGTCGTCCAATCGTGGGACCATGCTGAGGGCGTCTCGACAGTAATGTCCCCCCCCCCCTTTCTTATCCTAACTGGTAACTCATCTGCCATCTAAGAAGTCGTATTAGGCCCCGAAACCCAGAAAATGTAAATAGGTTTTCGAGCTGGAAGTATCAGGCCCCGATCACCTTATGAGCACACCCACGGTGGCTTCAACCACTGGTTGTTTTCTTCCTGAACCGATCACTATTGGTAAGAACTTAGCCGGAAGAGGTCTCATTTCACTCTTCCTGACACCACCCCCTTTGATTGCGACGACATCATTCGTATAATCAGAGCACATCACACGTTGGTGATCCTCCAGCGGAGGTCGTATTCAGCCACTGGATAGGGGAGTCCTATTGTCTCCACGAAAAGTTTCTGATTGTGGACTTTTTTCGTTTCAGGCGCGCTAAATGTATATAAGTACGCGTATCTACCCCTGCTCACTCCCCACTTTGCTCGAAACTTCGAGAAAAGCTGGTGAAAAAGGAGGTCCTGGAGGGTGTGAGAGGGCATAGCATAGGAGAGAGTCCTGGAGGGGTATGCGTCATCTTTCACGGAAGTTTCCCCAACGCTAGGACGTGCCCAGGGTAGGATGTGTGGTATATCCCATAGAAGGGTTGAAAAATGCCTGAAA